AATCCTCCATTGAACGTTCCTCAAGGAAGCATTATTGTTTAATTGTTTCCAGGAAGAGATGTTTCCTCAAATGCCACTCAAGCCTCAAGGAACGAAGTACTCGCAATGCTACCAGCATTAACGGAATATACAAAATTAGCAGAGGCTAAACACAGGCTGAATAGGATCTGGCTGGAATGGATATGTTTGCTTTCCGTCTGACCGCCCTGACCAACCGCATACAGCGCTGTTTCATGTCATTAGAAAGTCGTCAATAGCGAACCTTTAGTAGGTCTTGAATTTTTCACCCACTTGTTTGCTTATCCGTTACGTCTGTCTCCAAGACTAAAACTAAGGCCTATACCGCACTGATGAGTTGCTAACGAGCACGAAACAACGCTGCCTGAAGTTGCTCGTGGTTACAGAGACGGAAAGCAAACATTTTCATTTTAATTCTGTCTATTTATACATATATGCATAGAAAGCCATTGTTGGTCTCTCTATCGTACGGGATGAGGATGAAAATCAGCTTGGCGAACCTTTTGGTAGGACGCGATCGTCAGATTTCCATCCACTTGCGCACAATGATAGCATATGCTTGCTTTTCGTTTCTGCGACCATAATCATCAGTATACAACGTTGTTTCATGCTTTTTAGCAATTATCAGTACGGTATAGATGTATCCGCTTGGAGACAGGGGACGACAATCTTCAGAAAAACTTTGTGATGTGCGAAAAATGAAGGTGATAGTGCCATCTATAAGTAGTTCTGCTAATCGCGGTTTTTGCCATCCTCCTTTTACCTGGTATGTTCCATATTTTATTACGGATCGAATGATATGCGAATATTTAAGGGTGTGAATCTACATGAAAAATTAATGTCAGTTTGCTTTATAAACCATCGTCCAAACATGTTTCCTTACAAAAACTCGGGGTGTTGAAGTTTTAGGAAAAAATGGAAATTAATTAATATTTACAGAACCACTTCAGATATTTCACTGATATTTAGTACGTAGTGAAAGTTGCATATTTTCCAATGCAAAAATAATTTTTAGCTTTAACAGTGGCGTGCTTACGGGTATTGACTTCGATATTTTTTAAGAAAAAAAAGGTACGCCAATTGTTTTTTGCCAAATAAAAAATATTTTTGAATTCCCCGTTTAATTTTAAAAAAATGATCTCTTTTGAGTTGCTTTCCTTCGATGCGCCATTTTTTGAGTAAAAAAAATAAAATCCGTTCTATTGTCTAACTTGCAAAATTATTATTAACTTAATTGGAAAAATTAAACACATTAGGGGTAATGAACAACAACTGACAACATAAACATAACATTAAAACCAACAAAATGATAACAAAAATTGTTGAACATGGCCACCTTCACTTAGTATGCATGCTTCCGCCCTCCTTCTCATGGAATTGCGCACTCGTTGAAATATCCATTGAGTGTTTTTTATTCTATCACAAGCTGCTACTGCTGCTGCTAATAATTTTGCAAGTTAGATAATAGAACGGTTTTTATTTTTTTTACTCAAAAATGGCGCATCGCAGGAAAGCAACTCAAGAGAGATCATTTGTTTAGAATTGAACGGGGAATTCAAAAATAATTTTTATTTGGCAAAAAACAATTGGCGTACCATTTTTTCAAAACAATACCCGTACGCACGCCACTGTTAAAGATAAAAATTATTTTTGCATTGAAAAATACGCAACTTTCACTACGTACTAAATATCAGTCACATATCTGAAGCGGTTCTGAAAATATTAAATAATTTCCATTTTTTTCCTAGAACTTCAACACCCCGAGTCACTACCCGTACGCACGCCACTGTTAAAGCTAACATTTATTTTAGCATTGAAAAATATGCAACTTTACTAACTTTCACTACGTACTAAATATCAGTGAAATAGCTGAAGCGGTTCTGAAAATATTAAGTAATTTCAATTTTTTTCCTAAAACTTCAACACCCCGAGTTTTTGGACCATAGTTTATAAAGCAAACTAACATTAATTTTTTATGTAGATTCACACTCTTAAATAATCGCATATTATATATTTGCCTATAAATTTGGTAAACAACTTTTTAAGATATATTTCATAATAACGAAGCTATCTACCGACCACACACTAAAAACTCACCATGTAGATTTGATGTTATCAAGATCACCGGATGCAAGTACTTGTACAATGACTTTGTAAAATCTGATCATCGGACTTTTTGAATGGAATGAAAGATATTTGAAATGACTCTGTAATGATGATGCTTTGCAAACAATGAGACACCTACCTTGCTGACTATCTAAATTGATGTCGATTATAAGTTAGTTATCAGAATTTTCCGGCGCCCATTTATTATATGGAAGATTCTAAAATTACATGACTGGTATATTGTACATTATACAGGGTGTAAACGTTATGATAGTCACTATTTAAATGGGTCATATAACATGGGGGTCAAAAGGGCATTTTTTAGAAACAAGCAACTTTAAAGTAAAATAAAATCTGACAACGCCGCAATGCCAGACGGAAATTACGACGGAACGCAGTGTAGATAAAGATGGAGTTTGTTATTTTTGGCTCTTAGGTATTATTTCATTATTTGATAATGTTCTCGTAAAATGCAAACAATTAAAAAAAACGGGCTTACCACTAACTGTCTCAGCGCTTCACCTGGTGTGTGAAAGTTTATTGAACGTATTAAAAAAACCCACTTACACGTACATTGTTTTTCTTTTTAAAACCCACACTGCACTTTTTTGTATTTAAAGGTGTTCAAAATGTCGTCCTCCACTTTCCACACAAGCTTCATTACGACGAACCCAGTTTCTTCTTACTCTAGTCCTCGAAGTTGTCCATATATTATTTCAGCCGCATTAAAATTTTTTTCGCGAAGTTGTGCTTCAGTTGTTATTTTACCAGCCCCATAAACCATCCCCTTAAGTTCTCCTCAATACCAGAAATCCATCGGATTGAGGTCAGGAGATCTTGCTGGCCATTTTCGAGGATCAGGAGCATTTCGACCGATCCAGCGATGTTCATTCAAATACTGAATGACGCCTCTAAAAGTGTGTGGTGGTGCTCCGTCATGAAGAAACTACAAATTCTGTCTCCGTTGTAATGACATGTTGTCTAAGGTCTGTTCCAAAAGTTCTGGTAGGTTATTGGCTAGAAAGCTAAGGTATCCTTCTCCTGACAACTTTGGGGGTAACTTGAAAGGGCCAATTACCTGATCGTCAAAAATACCCGCCCAAATATTTATTTTAAAAAGTTGTTGGGACTGACCTTCACGAATGGTATGAGGATTTTCTTGGACCCACGTGTGTGGGTATTATGGAAATTTAATGTCCCATTTCGCGTAAAATTACATTCGTCCATCGCTAGAATGTTTTTAAAAAAATCCGGGTTTTCAATGTTTTTGTGCAAAAACCACAGACAGTATGTTAGTCTGCGAGAATATTCCTCTGGCAAATTTTTCCATAGGATTCTATGGATTATGGTATGCGATAGTCCTACGCGGCGGCCTAATTCCCGAGTGCATTGATTTCCACGATATTTAAAATTTGTTCCTCCTGCTCTACAGTAACCTGTCTTTCACGAGTGCGAATATTAGTGGGCTGAACACCTCCTGTAACTCGAAGTCTTTGGTACACTTGCACAAATGTCCTTCTGTCTGGGTGTACCCGTTGGCGAAATCTGTCGCGATAAATTGAGATGCAAGATTTGAATTGTGACGAGCTTCACCCTAAACTAGCAACATGTCGGCGAACCCTTGATTCGAGAACATTGTAAATAAGCACGATGACGGCGACGTACGCGAACAAAAACAAAACAACACGCCCGATACTCTGCTCGACAAAACGATAAAGTAATTGATCTATGCAAAACGATAACTAACTACTGTTACCGTTTGCGATCGATTGCCGGTTCGATAAGAGTGATGAAAGACCGACGAGCTGTTGTCATGTGTGTTTTAAATATTTAATCTAATGAAACTTACTTACTGACTACAAATTTTGGCTTAAATTAGAAAAACTTATTGCCATTTATTTGCTTAAGATTGTGGTGATTGTGGTCGATATAAAGCACTTAAAGTTGTGAAATATAAAGCCGTTTAGACAAAAATCTATTGACTTTTTGACCATGGGTCATATGAACTTTTTGACTTGTTTTGACCTCCCCCTATTACCCATTTCAATAATGACTACCATAACGTTTACACCCGGTATTTCACGACTGTAGCTCAAGAGGGGGTGCATGTTACAGCATCATTCAAGCTCTAGCTATCTTAAAGGCATATGGTGCTTACAGACTAATAACACTAGGGATGCACGGAGTACTCGGATTGTACCTGGTACTTGACGTATCCAGTTTCGCCTAGTATTTAATTACTCGACCTGTTAATTACTCTGTTTTAGCGCAAGACACAGAACTTGCTAAGTCAATTAAGTGCAGATGCGATGCGAAACCACATTGCAGTATTGCCTATTTGCATTTCGATTTGCACTCTATTTTTCTTATAAACAATCAAACACAACAAACACCACAAAATAAAATTAACAAAGTACAGCAAAGGTCGTAAAGCAACGTAAATAACGAGTTTCTTGCGTTTCTCCATAGAGAGTCTGTACTCATACGTGAGGATAATTTAGGTTAGGTTCTTCGCAAATCTGAATTGGTCCTGCCACGGCAAAGCAGTTTCAAATTGTGTTTCTTTCGTAAGGTCCTAGTAACCCATAGAATTTATTTTCAGTGTTCGTGATGGCCATAATTTTGAGCAGTAAGGTGTCTGACATTTTCTACTTCCAACACGTTTTCATTTTTAACACAATATTTTTTTTTGGTTGTATGTTGATTTCTTAAAAACGTAAATCAAATGTGTGAATAAAAAGACCTTTCAAAACCCCAAATATAATCTAAATATCACTATCAGCAGCTAAAGTGACCCAGCGTAAATGACTCCACCGAGTACCCAGGGTACCCGATATTCGGTTTTTTGAGAAAAGTAGTTAATAGGCTATTTGACTAATTTTGCAAAATCATTTTAAATTATTCTTTTATATATAATGAGCACACTACATGAATATTTCCTAAAAATCTATACTATTTTTAATAGAAATCAAATTTAATGTTTGAATTTTTAGAACCGCGCCAAAAACGCTATTCCTGTGATGGCGCCGGCAGATGACGTCTGTGACGTCACACGCCAGTAAACACGATCACGAGCTGTCAGCCGAAGTTAATTTCATTATTGTGCTTGATTTTGCTATAATATCATAGATAAAATGGTCTATAAATGGTGTGTAGTGCCAAAATGTACGAATACGTGTATAAATAGTCCACAAAGATTGTTTGTTTCTGTTCCAACCGATTGTAAAAGACGAAAAAAGTGGTTACTAGCTCGGAGAGACCCAAAGGGCATTTCATCGACTTCGAATGTATTTATGTGTGAAGATCACTTCGATGTAAGTATAAATTGAATATGTTATCTACTAGGTAGCTTAAATTACCGCTTTTTTTAAGATTGAAATAATATATAACTATCTATAACCTCAAATGTATCTTTGGTTATGTTGAGGATAAGTCAGTGTTGAGGATCAAAGATCCTGTTTATTAACCCTAAACTTATTACTCTGTAGGGTTTCAAAATGTTTTCTGTTGTTTTGATTATATTAGCTACCTACGTATACATATCTCAATAATTTTCTATGCTGTGTCATTTTACCTACTTTGCTTATTAGATAGTGATAGTTATGTTGAATTGCAGATGGAAAAAGACACCATTAACTACATGCAGTACAAAATGGGTTTCAGCCAGAAGATACTTTTGACAGAAGATGCTGTGCCAACAAAATTTCATTGTCAAGAAGATCGTAAAAGACCACTGTCTGATGCTGGACTTTCTCGAGGAGCATATGTCAAGAGGAAAAGAATGGATTTGGTCAACACATGTTTGCAAAGTCAAAATGCTACTGAAGCCCAAGCTGAAAGCTTACAAAAAGATGAGAGTTTGATACAAGACATTATTGAACCTCAAGGTATGTAATCTATTACATGTGTCCTATCATAAATTATAGTCTAAGAGCTGATAGACATTTTTGTAACCTATTTGAGGCCTTATAAAAACTTGTCTACTACTTCTTCCATTATTTCTGAATAAAAAGGGCAGAACTGAATAAGGTGAGTAACTGTTGTCCCAAGGGGTATTGAGGGTATTTTTCAAAAAAATCATAAAGACATATTTGTAGCAGATTGAGATTTTCACAGAATAATATTTATTGTTTAAAATTGATATATTCAAAGTGATAGGTCATTTTAGTGGGACATTTTACTTGCTAGGTGGTCAAGCATGCTCAACTTGTACTTCAGGTAATGGGTAATTTTCTCTCAAGCTGTTGATGTTGTGATTCACTACCCCTTATCCAGCACTGCACTTTTTCTTCAGTGATAATGGTAGTAGGAAGTAGTAGACAACTTTTCATAGTGCCTTAACGTAATCATTTACATTGAAATTAAGACATTAATTTTGAGTCTTTGTTCTTTCAGGTTTATCAAGAACTCAAGACAGAGAAACTATTACCAACTCTATCATAACTGCAGAAAAATCTGTGCAAGTAACAATAAAAGAGAATGTGCATCATAGGAGCAAATCTGTGCAAACAAGATGCCAGACTACAAGTATTTCTACCTCACCAATGAAAGTTTCTACAACATCTCGTTCCACTTCGCCCTTTAAGATTAAACCATGCAGTCTTCGACCATCACAGTCTGAAATTGTCAAAGCAGTCAAGAGAAATGTTTTTCTTGAAGATGAGAAGTCAGATAGTGATATTTCTTGTATTGAAAGTGGTCGTCATTTATCACCTTTTGTAACTAAATCAGCATCATCATCATCAGGGCTTACCGACTCTGATAGTAATGTTACAGATGCCAATGAGAATATTGAAAAATTAGAGTGCCTCAAAATTACTATGCGTTCAATCTCTAAAAAACCAATGATGTATGTTGGTATTCCAAAAGAATGTTATTTCTTAATCAAATTGTTACATAAACACACAAGCATAAAAGTAGAACACATTTTGCTATGCTTGAAAAAGATTAGAATGAACAGTACATTTTCTGAACTGGAGGATAATTTTGGAATATCATTATCTTATGCTAGTAAATTGTTTCTACAAAATATACCAATAATAGCTAGTGTTTTAAGACCATTCATTGTAAATATAGATAAAAAATTGGTAAAAAAAATCTTCCTATTTCATTTAGACATAACTATCATAATGTCAGTTGCATCATAGATTGTTTAGAGATTGATATACAAAAACCATCAAAGGCTCTTCATCAGTCATTGACGTGGTCAGAGTAGAAAAAGGGGAATACTGTGAAGTATTTAGTATCCTGTACACCTAATGGTTTAGTTAATTATGTTTCGCATGGGTTTGGGGGCAGAACCAGCGATGCCACAATAGTAGAAAATTGTAACTTTCTAGATGGATTACCCCAAGGATCCTGTTGCTTAGCTGACAGAGGCTTCAAACACCTTGAACAAATACTTCATGAAAAGGGACTAAAACTATTAAGGCCACCCAGTGTAACTGCTAGTGCAAAGTTGTCAAAAACTGAAGTTCGACAAACTAAAATAATAGCTAGTTTGCGGATTCATATTGAAAGGGTAATAAGGCGTTTGAGAGAATTTCATATTTTAAAGCAACATTCAGTGATAAATACTAACATACGTCGTGTACTTGATCATGTCATTATAATTGCATGTGCTCTAATAAATTTGCAAGATTCTCTTATTAAATAATGGATTCTTGCCTGTTATGATACTTTATACTTAATTATTATCATGTAATCTCCTCTTTTGTGACATACCATTTGAACTTTGTGTTTTGTACTTGGCTGAATAAATACTTCTACTACTACTACTATAAATAAAGAAATAAATGATGTAAAACCATGAATAAAATAATAATAAAACAAGAAATATGCACTGCATAGTTTTTTATTTGATAATCACAGACTAGTGCTACGATACAAAATAGGATATATATTTTTTTTCCAAAAAATATACAAGTTTTTTATTAAGTTGTGGACATAATCATTTTCGTACTTCACTAGAATAATATCTACATTTTTTGTTTCTTCAAAGTTGCTATCAGCAACACAAAAATAACATTTTTTCATACCAGTTGCATGCATCTGTAATTGAACCTGTGCCTTACATTTCTCTGAACTAATTCCATTTTTTAAATAATTGTTCTTAGCTTTTGCTTTGGTAGGGCATTTTATTTCAACAATGGCATCTTTCAATAAACCATCAGGAGATGCTGCAAGCATGGGATTGTCTTGGCATACATAAAGTCCACATGTTCTGATTTTTTTGTTCAATGTTGTACTAACTGTCTTCCGGACAGATAGCTCCAAACTTCTACCTCTTTTCATTGCAATAGTATCTGGTATTTTTGCGCCCATTATAGTAGCAACCAATGAACCATCAGGTGTATGACATACGCTCACTTCATGTGCCTTTGAAGCTGTGATACGGCCATACCTCATCTCATACCACAAGCTGCTCTTGTACTGCATTCTTGTTGCTTCTTCAATTGCACTGTTAGCAGCTCTGTTGAATGTTGTCTTCATTATGTCTACAAGATTGTCTACGTCTGCTTGAATTTTTGGTGGTTGGTCCATTATGAAACAGTGCAGCGAATACCGCATAACATTTGAGTGTTTAAAATCGTCCTGATATTTTATCAATTCGCACTGTTGAAGTTTTCTTTTTTTGGCTTCCAAAATAAAGTCTGTGTAAAGTGCTGATGTACTTGGTCTGTGTGGTACTTCCTTTTTCGACATCTGCTGCACAGTGATGTACTTCAGAGTAGTCCCTACTCTTGACAATGTTGGCTTTTTCCAATAACATTCCACCGAAGTAGATGGAGGTTCCTCACTGCGCCGATGTACCCACATCAAAAAAGCGACTGCATGCTTGCATCCTCCTGCTGAAGCAGCACAGTCATGGCACTGACAACTTATTATCTCGCTTTCATTTTCGTTGATAACCATTGTCACATTATAAGCTTTTGATCTCACTTTGTGCTCTGGGCACATTTTGCACTTAAGTGTGCAAAGTCCATGCTCCCGGTGCAGCTGCACATAGCCAATTGCATCGTCTCCGTAGGACTCCCTTCCAGACCTGTAAAACAAAAGCAAAACATGAAAGTATGTTTTATTCATGAAACCATATATGAACCATATTATCATATTGAACTGAAAGCTTTTTTCATTACATCAACATAACCTAAAATAAGATTGATTTTACAAATCTTTTAATGATCATACATAAAGGTTAGTAGGTATAAATAAATACTTTCTATTACTACTTACATTGTTGTTTTCACATGTTTGAGTTCCGCAGCATAGTAGTCCGCATTATTTTTGAAGAAAAATGCTACCATTAATGCGTCAACCTTAGGCAGATTGCTGTTATCAGCTTGCACAAAATTTAGGTCCATTTTGAAGTCCACAACGAATAATGATGTCAATAGTTGAAAGATTGATCAAGAAAGTAATAAAAATCTGTTTACGAAATAGAATTATGATAGAATATCTCACAGAAAGCCAGCAAAAACGTACAACGCGATGTTTGTTTACTTGCATGTGACGTCACCAGAGTCGCAGCCAATCGCAGGGCCTTTCTGTGACCCATCGAATTTTTAAAAATAGCTGATTTTTATTTGATTATTTCCCAAAAAATATACATATTTAGGTGTACATTAAAGTACTATGTGTTTTCTTATTCCATTATCTAATAGGATCACCACAATTCGCAACTTATTTTCAATACTGTCAAATAGCCTATTGGCATACCTTGCACTAACGTATGTCCAAAAAGTTTTTGCACAAAATATTTATCGGATTTTTTTTAATGAATAAATTTATTTAAACATTAACTAGTTATCAGAAATTACAACTCAATACTGAACTAAGGTCTAATATCTGTGGCGTGAGGAGTGACCCATTCTGCTCTACCAGACGCAACTTTCTTTGAATGTCTGTCATAAGATCCTGGACAGAATTCAGATCAGTTTCTTTCAGTTTTTCGTAAATTCGTCGTCACTTAAGTCTATATCGATATTTAAGACCTTTGCTCCTCAATTCCAATGATATCGTACTCTTAGAAGATCTGTATTGACGAGGCAATCTCCTTGTTGACATTCCAACCTGCTTTTTATGGTATCCCTGCTCGCCCTGCTATTGTTCGATAAATGGTTCTGAGTGAAATGTTTTTATTCTGGAATATTCGATACACATGCTTTGGGTACCCATCAACTTGTAGATACTTTTCCTTATTTCTAATGTATGCGACACCTTAAAGCGAAAACTTCAAAATGAATAAATGTCAACTGACACTAAAGTAAGTACACAAAATTTTGTTTCCAAAGGCAACTTGATATTATTTTATGTTTGTTAAAAAAAGCCAATGAATGTTGTGCAAAAACTTTTGGGACATACGTTACTTGTTTCATCCCTGTGTTCAATGATCGTTATAAGTTGTCGCATCCTTGTACATTTTGAAACAACTAAATATTAAATTATTAATACTACTGAACGGCAATACAGACAAGTAGTCTTGCGTAAACTTTTTGAAAAACAAAGGGCAATCGTGGGCATGTCCACAATAAAGGAACAGGAGCAGAAATAGTAGGGTAGGATTGGTAACCCGAGCGACGTACGTTTCTGCGTATCGGCATGATCAGGTCCACATGGATGTGAATCGAAAACACGTAAGTGAAAAGATATGTCCATCACATCTGGATACGGGTATAACCTGGAGGAAAACAAAGATGAAATGGGAAATACAACTAGAAGCCACCAGCAAGAGCCAGCAGGCACATTTGATGCTTCGGCCAGAAGACCTCGTGTTTACGAGGTATCAACCAAACCCCATAAGCCCATAAGCAAATACATAGAAAGACAAGAAGTCGTAGGGAAACTTTGATGAAAAACAAAGAACAATCCGTAACAAAGGTAAACAAATAGAAGGATTAGAAAGATTTGATTTCATTTCGGTGTTCTCTATGCACATCCATTTGGACCTGATAAGCCCAATAAGCAGAAACGTTCGTCGCTCAGGTTATCAATGCTTCTATTTCTGCTCCTGGACCTTTATTGCGGATATGCCCTCGATTGTCCTTTGGTTTTATTGAAAATAAATGTTCATATTGGGAAAATCTAGTTAGACAACCTGTGGGTCTTTGGTTGGCAGCCAGACGGACGTGCCACGTGTCTCGGGGCTGTAGTCTGCAGAACAGCAGCTTCACCAGAGCGAAGAATTAACACCTGCGGTTGTAACAACTATTGGAATGCCTATCCTGCAGTAATTTCGACCTCTGCTAATTTTTAGAAGGACGCTAATTATATGTCACATTGGTAGTTGGTGAAATATTAGAACTGTACACACTTTTTCCTTAGTGTCCAAAGCTCATTTATATTTTTGTACGGCTCCAGTCAGCAAGCTGGAATTCATTACTGTGAAATTGATGCATAAGTACTATATTTTAGTTCAACAGCAACAGCCGAATCTTCAAAGATGGCGGCAAGGCGACATCTTGGAGAAATGAATTAAAAGTGATACATCGTACTAAAGAGTGCTTTATAATCTCAAACCGTAATGTCTGTATCCTTCAAAATGGCAGAATGGTTGTCAAAGTACCCTTAACAGGCAATTGTGAAAACCCGATAGTAGGTAACATCAATATTTTTCTTTGTGGTGACTGACCCATCCAGGTCACAGGTCACAGCTATTACGCGATGAGGCAGATCAACGATTTATGAATCAGAAAGATGTTACGAAATTTTAAAATGTTCCTGATCACAATATTTCCCTCAACTAAGACGTGGGAAGTAAAAACGTTTCGCTTTGCGAACACTCATAATCATTTACAGAGTTATTAGCTAAAATATCTTGTCCATAAAATCAGCAAGTCATCAGTAAACAAATAGGGTACATTCACCCGATCATGATTAGTTATATTATTCGTTAACCAAGGATGACTGAACTTCACTAACAGATAAATTAGATGATTTGTATATGTTACAGAGTGACTAATGCCACTGATTAACATAGTCTACCTGAAGTAGCAAACATAATACTATATTCCTGCGTCAAAAAAATTATCCGAGATAAAATGAGATACAGAAGCGTCATTTACGAGAATTTCTCAACTATGATTCTCCTCTACGCACTAAACTAATTTGAGAAGGTTTGTATTTCATAGATGGCGATGTAGCTATC